TGATATCCATATTGGGAGGCGAAGGGTCCGAAGCAAAACCTAAGTCTTCAACTGCTCTCAAGATGCCCCTCTCTCTATCTGATGATACCTCAACAATACCAGGAGCCTTTGTTCCACAGAAATGTTGAAGACCCTTCATTGCTTCTTCCCCACTCCGCTCATCGGATGGAAAAACACCAATCAAACCCGAAAACCTGTCAACTAGGACCAACGCAACTTTATCCCCAGTTTGCCCCACCAAGTCTCTTGCAATGACAAAATCCACTGCAATTCTCTCCAGAGGAGCCGTCGGATCCTCAGCCTCTCTTGCCTGTCTCAGAACCTCACGCTGGTTTCCCCGACGCCTGTGAGGCGCCTCATACAGTTTGGCTTGACGACACGTGTCACACAAATGACTCTTCGGAAGGTGGGTCAGAAGATGATTGGGAGGTAAGTTTTCTACCCAAATTTCATCATCCGCACGCCCTTCCTCCTCCTCCCTCCCGTCCGCGCTATGCGCAGGTACGGCTTCTGGAGGACTTACTTCTTCCACTTTACCGTTCACATCCGGACCCCCTTCAGCGTCCGCGCGATGCGCAGGTACAGCTTCCAGAGATGCCGGAGGAGCAGGTGAGTCAGTGGCGCCGTCGATCCCCCCCATTAAAAAACCATGGTGGGGAGACCATATTGCAAGGAACACTGCAACCGAAAAATGGGCACGTGATGGTCGATGCGATGAGCTTGAACACATTCTCCTTCAGGACTCTGGAGCCAAGGGAGCTGTGAGGGCTCCCAATGAAAACTGAAACCGGCAGTCTGAACCAAGTGACCTATGGAAAGCACCAAGGGACAATCATCCAGCAAATAAATGTTGTTGATCCTATCAAATTCCTGCGACCAAAGCCCAACTGATGTAGTAGCAGGTTGGGGGCCCCCCCCAGTCGTGAACCGCAAGGGATAGCTAGAAGTTCCCGACCATGAGGCCAATTCCTCAGCCTGCACGCCTTGACGACGCAAAGCCTTGGAACTTCCCAGCCATTCCCCAGCACCTGTATCGCCAACAAATTCCAAAAAATGGTTGTGAGATGGAGCCGGAAGAGTGCAGCAGTGATTGAAGCAGCCAACAAAGCCACCATACCAGGTCTGGTGGGAGAAGGCTTGGGCTTGGGGTTGGTAGTCTTGGGGGCAGGCTTTGATTTGGCATTGGGATCATGTTTGAACGGGCATTTCTCGCGGAAACACTTACCTTGGGCAAAGTAAATGCAAGGCATTTCAGCTTTCTGTGTTGCAGTCAACTCGGGGGTTTTAGCCGTGGTCGGCTTTGAAGTTTGCTTTGATTTGCCCTTTCCGTCCTTGTCACCTTTCCCTGGCTTGCCCTTTCCTTTACCATCCTTTCCACCTTTAGAGGCAGGCAACCCAGACGATTCCTGAACTGAATGAGGCTTTTTGGAAGGACCTTTCCTCAGAGCCTCCTGAATGCTGAGCGCGTTGGCTTCCTGCTGAGACTCATGGAGACACTGCTCCAACTTTCCCCATAACCAATCGAAAGTCAAACATTCCGACCCAGGAGGAGCGTCGCGCACCTTGTCAACATGCCTGCGCATGAGTGGATGCTTCTTGACACGGTCATACAACCACTTGGCTAGGAGTCTAGGTTCTGGACGATCAGCAGGACCTATCTGGTTGCGTACGTAATTCACCTTGTCCCTCCATTGGCGAAGGGAAGCGACATTGTCTTGCGGAGGGGGAAGGTTGTACAGTTCCAACGCAGTCATGATGGCACCTGCGTTTTGATCAGTGTCGAACTCACGATAAACCAGGTTCAACATAACCCGACCCCGAACCTCATGACCATTCAACTCACACTCCTCCAAATATGAGTTGAACCGAACACCAAAGTGAGATCTAAGATGCTCTGGTTTACATAGTGCAGCGGCTAAGACCCTGTCAAAACGTGGAAAATCCCCAGAAGACGACTGTAGAGCATGTTTCTCTGTTGCTGATCGGGCATTGATAGTTTCGGAAAGCCATCGCATGAGGGATCCATCAGATGAACGATCATAACTCATCAGTAGAGTCCTCAAAGAGTTCTTCCATTGCCTGAAAGCACCTGCATCACTAGGAAGGGTAGGTACCTTGAAGTAATGCAAATCCTTAACACGTAGAATGGCAGATTCAAGATCATCTCCGCTTCCACTGGCCTTACTGTGAGCGTTGGACGCTTGATCCTGATCTTTGACCTCCTCTGCATGACCTTCCGCATCATGAAACAAACGAAACTCCTCAACTCCTTTGGGTGTAGTTCCGTTTGGCGTCTGGAACCCCCTTTTTGAGGAGATGTTTCACCAACACCCTGTTCCCACCAAAAGTCTTGCTTCAGGGTTTGCACTTCAGCATGAAGGTTCTGAAACATATCCCTGTCCTCCAAAATGTCTCCAACAAGTTTGTCAAATCTAGAGTTCAACCTCGAAATGTTTTGCTCTGAGGATTCCAACCTAGAGTTCCAAGACGTGAGAAACACGTTCTTCAATGATGTCAATCCCTCTTCAATTAGTTTGATCCTATGTTCAAACTGGACTGTCAAATCTCCCGCAGCATTTTGACCTGGTTGACTCACAAGGGCGCTCCTCAATCGATCTATTTCTGTCATGCATTCTTCCAACCTTGAGTTCAAAAACTTCTCTCTTTCAGCAGCCAGACTTAAGGCAGCATCCCTGGCAGTCAGCTCAGCCTTCAGTTGGTTGACTTGGGATTGAAATTGCGCATTGTTTTCTAGCACGTGGGCTCTTGCTTCCAAAATCGCATGCGCTGCTTCGGTTCTAGCCCCCGTTACAGCTTCAGCCGCTTGGGCCATCACAGAGGGTTCCAATGATGGGGGGGCAACATACTGGTTTACAGTTTGGTGGATCTGTCGATCATCCTGAAAATTCTGAAAGGTTTGGTGATGATGAACTTGCCGGCAATCCTGAGCTCCTTGCCCAGGACTCTCACTAAGCCCCGAACCAGATGGCATTGCACTAGGCTCCAGGCTTTCCAAACGCTCACAAACTTCCATCCCTGCTGATGGGTTCCCATCTCCCATTTCAAGCACTTCTTTGCGTTCCATCATTTCTTTCCAACTGAGCCGACCCTCTACAACACTCCCTATCCGCCCAGAGGGGACGCCCGCGCTTTGCGCTGGTGCGCCCTTTGTGGAAGGATAAGGACTAGGCTTACGAACCTTTCCCTTTTTGGGGGTCCCTGAAGATGATGAACTGCGACTAGGAGCCCGTGAACTCAAAATGGCTGGCACCCCATCAACAGATGAACTCAATGAAAACTCAGGACTAGAAGATGAAACCATCAACCGCAAAACCACCCAAAGAACTTATCCCAACTGAAATCAAAATCTGCCAAGCTTTTGCAAGACGCGATTTGATCAAGGGATGGGAAACTGCTCTGCCCAAGATGGAGAATCTGCAACCGGAAGGAAGCGGGATTGCTCAATGTAGTCGGCAAACTCCGCAAAGGATCTCACGTGATACAAATTCCGATCTTTTGGGCGATGTTCTGCTTCAAAATAGACGTCTGTTCCCTGGGATGCAGCAATAGTTTCACGACAGGTCCTCAACTTGTCGTCCACAAAAGCAGCAGTTTTCAACCGGCTCACAATCCCAGCTTTTTGGGAAGGGTTGTCGCAAAAGTGAAGCCCGACTTGTTTCGAACACCCTTGCGTTGTGACAAATTGGTCCAAATCTCTTATTGATGCCACTGCCTGGGATCTCAAGCGGTATGAGTCCGCACCAATGTAAGAAAGAACTGCCACTTGGCGATGTCCGAGATTCAAGAGCTTGACAATTGCCTGTTTGTTGATCAATGGGATCTCACCAGATGTTTCCTCTCGCTTCCCGTCACGACTGTACTTTAGGAATTCAGCACAGTCCAAGACACCGTGCAAATCGGTCACGATCAACACGCGAGAAGGTGGCGGCCCTCTGGTCAGATTTGATGGCCCAACTCTGGGCCTCAAAGGCTCACCCCGAGTGTCACGTGAGAGTTCACCTGGATGAGGAGAGCGATGGCTACTGGTGATCAACCTCGCCGACGACAAAGGTTCTGCAACTTGTTCGGGCCTGGATTCAGTGAAAGCTTGCTCGTTTGAGGCGGGCTTCACTTGAGATCCTGATGCCGAGCTACTTGGGAGTTCCCGCGGCTCTACTTCAGCGCTTGCAGGATGAGGAAGTTCTCGGAGTTGAGAACCGTATTGAGGTACTTGTGGAAAGTCTTTCTTTGGTTGATACTCACCCCGTTCAGTCCTCGCCCGAAGGCTTTTCTGAGCTTTGACTTTCTGGCCACCTCTTTCACCCCTTGGACGCTTAATTTTGCTGACCTTTTGGAGTAGCTTTTCAGCTAGCAAACAGTGCACCTCCGGTAAGCGTCACTGATAGCGCTGTTGCCCCTTCCGCAAGGATTTGGACTATGGCGCGAGCTTCCAAGGCTCTTAACCCAATAAATCAGCAGACACACCTTGTTTATGTCTTGAGCCAAATAAGTTTGTCATGGGTTTTTATACCCTGTAGGTGAACTGTACATGTAGGGTTTAACCCAAAACGTTTCACGTCATAGAGAAGTCTCGCTTGCAGAAGCACTGGCATAGAGACATCAATGATGAACACAGCTTGTTGAAACAGGTCCATCTTGCATCGTTTGCATCACAAACTGACCAAAAGATACCAAAAGTATCCAAAAATTGCCTCCACCAAAAACTAAAAGCACCAGCCAGCAGGCTCCTATGATTAGGCACACAAAGTCGCGTCTGCCCCACACTGCCAACTTCAGCCTGGCCTATCGGCTGGCTTTCGTAAAATCCCGACGAAAGAATCGTAACACAAAAGACTGACTAAGACACTTGTCTATAGTTTTTGTAGGCAAGTGGTGCAGGATGTTTCATTGTGCTTCAACACTCATGAGCAAATGGTGAATGGCGATTGCGCACGCAAATGAACTGGCCCCGCCCTGGAGCATGGAAATAAGCCGGTCTCCTCGCTCGCATCGCCTCAAAGCACCATGGAGACTTGGTGGGTTTTGATCATACCCAATGTAGCTACTAGGAACAAGTGCATCGCTTCTAGTAACAAGTGCCTTACTAGTAGTAACAAGAAGCTATTAGAAACAGAATTAGAAACAATAAGCTATATGGAGACTTGGTGGTAGACCCCGGGAATCTGAGCCCGAAACTGGGCAGTCGATGTTTCCCGAACCTTTCAGGGTCTCCCCCCTGCGAGCGCGAGGTCTAAGGTCTTCCTATTTGAGCTACTAGATGCATGCAGAATGTCTTGCAAACTACAAGAATTGACGATCTGCTGGGTCTGTGGTGCTTGTTATATGCCTTCGGAATCCTTCGGATCATTTGGTGAGATTGTTTTTGCCTCGAGTGAACTTGCACTTTGCCCAGATATCTCCAACATACAACCTCTTGGTGCTCCGTGAATACTACTCGCCCGCTTGTCGGGGCCTCCCAAAGAACCATTCTCAAAACAAAAGCTGCCGCCTCCAGACTTGAGATCTTTTGAGAGTATTAGTTCCTATTTGTACTCGATCTCATGAAAGGGGATCTTGGGTCTCCACCTCCACAGACATCACTTGGAGACGGGCCATTGGAAACAGCACATCGCTGCAGCACATCGCCCAGTCCAGCGCCCGGAGCCCTGATTCCGAGCCTTCCGGATCCGCCTCACTCGCCGTCTCGCTGCTCACCTTGACAGACACCAACGTAAGACCGGTGCCCGGAGTGCCACGAGGCACATCCAGTGCCAACAGAGGTTGAGAGACCAGAACTAAGACCCCTTTTTGGTGTACATGATGGGAAGGGCGAGAAAAAAAATAAAAGCGTTTTCTTCAACCGCTCTGGGTGATGAACATCCACATCTCAGAGGAAAACGATCGTGATGGACTTGAGTTGTGGCAATTTTCGCGACTGACAGGACCTGAGCCTGGCAAGCGAATGCAGGCGACAGGCTCCCATCAGTGATCAAACCACACAAAAATGCGCTAACCTTCGTTCCAACACCCTCCGGGAGCTCCGAAACTCGGAGCTGCGCGACCCGCCTCCACCGGCGCCTCCACCAGTTGCAGGTCGGTCACCGTCTGAAGCACCGCGCAGGGACCGAGGTTCTCGCAACTTGGGGATGGCATGGTATTTACCATGAATATTGATGGTCCATGGCTTAATTCAATATGTTGGATTGTGGATTTCATATGATGTCATATGTTTTTCCACCTTTTCTAGCAAAACATCCCACACCAAAGGATCCTTCTTGCGCCGCCGGGATCCATTCTTCCGCGCCTCCAGTGCTTGCAGCGCCAGCTCGGGCGGTGGCCCCGGGGGCGCGACGACCGGCAGCTCCGCGGGAGGGGCCGGCGCAAAGCTCAAAGGTTGGATCCCTCCGACGATGCGCAGATGGTGGTGGCACGAAGTGGAAAAAGGTTGCCCAAGTTCAAAATTATAGGATCGGATAACCAGACACAGGAGCGGACAATTGGTGGTTGGTGGGTGACACTGGGTTGCTGGCAATTGGTTGGTGGCAGTTTGTTGGTGGCAAGAGAGCAGCAAGTACCGTGCCTGCCACGCAAATCACACCGGCAGAGGCGCGGCGACCCAGCGACCCCAGGGCGTATATCCGACCCCTTGGAGAGCACCAACGAACCGCGCCTGCCACGCAAATCACACCGGCAAAGCTGCGGCGACCAAGCGACCCCAGGGCATACATCCGACGTGGTGACAATTAGTTGGTGGCAATTGGTTGGTAGCAATTGGTGGATGGCAATTGGTTGGTGACAATTGGTGGGTGGCAATTGGTTGATGACACTTGGTTGGTGACAAGTGATTGGTGGCAATTGGTTGATGACAATTGGTGGGTGGCAATTGGTTGATGACAATTGGTGGGTGGCAATTGGTTGGTGACAACTGGTTGGCAGTATTTGGTGGGTGGCAACTCGTGGATGGCAATTGGTTGGCGACAATTGGTTGGTGACAATTGGTTGGTAGCAATTGGTGGGTGGTAACTGGTTGGTGGCAATTGGTTGGTGACAATTGGTTGGTGACAATTGGTTGACGACAATTGGTTGGTGACAATTGGTTGATGACAACGCGGTTGATGACAATTGATTGGTGAGTGACAATTGGTGGAGGTGCGGAGCGAGGAGGAGGAGCGAAGGAGGAGCGGATACCACACTAAAAATAAAAACCACACGTCAATGTGGGGAAAAAGTTTTTGGCTGTGGGTTCATGACTGAAAATGAATAGACCTCAAGACTCGAAAATCCGATATATTCCCAAATGGTGAGTTATAGCTTTGCCCAAAAGTGGTCTTTGGCATTTGATCAGCCAGGAGTTGTGGGGGGGGCTGTATAACTAAGGATGTAAACCTCCCATGGTTTGATGAGGTGGTGACCCGCCAAGGTCGTGGAGGAACAACTGTAGAGGTGGATACTGCTCAAATGAAGATCTTGGCCACGTCTTTGACACCAAGGAGCTTTTGAAGCAAAAGACTGTCCTAAGCCCAAGCCAAACAAAGGATCTTCTTGGATGGTTGGGGGTTGGGATTTTCTTGGACTCAAGCGACGTGGATGGCATGAATGCAGGATGGAGGCTCGTCATGTACAATGTCGATGCAACAGCATCTGACGTCTTTATGTATTTCTATATATTCTCTGTAGACGTGCATCTAAATAATTTCCGAGACAGTCTTGGTCTTTTTGGGGGGTTGACTTGGGTTGCGGCATTTAAGAGGAGGAAGCACGGAAAGAGAACTGCAGAGGGACAGTTCAAAATGGTTTCGGGGATAAGTTTTCCTATGCCACTGGTCCCACCCTTTTGAGCAGCTCTAATACTGAAGAAAATGGATGTGAGTAGGCATCTAAAGACTGCACCAAATACTTCGTTGTGGATATCCTGGAGCCAAAAGTAGCGCAGGGGAAATCTACTGGAAACAAATCAGCGCTGCTCAAAAATAGTAAAAACATGAATGAGGAGAGAGCAAGAATCACCTACAAAAACTTGTGCTAGGAAGCCTCATTGATTGAATATCACTTGGTACCCCTTGTCAACAACTTTCCCTAACCCCGGTGGCAAAGAAAAAGAAAGAACCCAAACCCATGAGCCTGCCACTGCTGCCAATTGCTGCACACCAGCCGACGCCTATGAGGGTCCAGTACATGAGGTCATGCCGCGATAGAAAAGTCATCCTCTCTACCTAGACTGTGCTTGTATACATATACATATATATATATATTATACGATATAGCAATGATTTCACCGTTTGAAGGAAGACGTGCTGAAAACATATGACAAGTACGTGTTTCAAGTGGACGTTCGATTCGATGGACTCTCTGTTCGGATTTGGGGGTTCACGACATGCATGGCATGTCTATTATGTATAATGTAATATAAAATACTACAAATACTGACTTCTTTTGTCATGTGTTTTTCCACCAAGCCCCCGGCGGGAGCGTGAACGGGCTGATGTGTTGTGCTTTTCCCAACAAACCTAGCTTTGCCGCTTTGCTGCTCGCAAACCAAGGTCCATACCTGACCCCCCTCCGCAATCAGACTCCACCTCAACCCCCGAACCAAAAACGCGGGCCCCAGGCCGTCATTGCGAGAGCATCAAGGCCGGTGGCAGGCACATGTTCCTGGACAAAAACCCTGTGTGGGGTCAAAACCAAAAGGCGAAACAAACCGAAACCGATGAAAAAGTGGACCAGTTTGGAGTTCAAGAGATTTATTTTATTAGATTTCACTTGATTTTTCATTCATTGCCATTGACATATTGCATGGAAAATGGACTTGTTCGAAGTTGCTGTTCCTCAAAAATGGGAGCACTTTCCAGGTAAACAACCAGTACAACGTTTGCAAGTTGGACACAACACAATGCAAAGCACATTTTGCATGCAAACCGTCGATGGTTAGTTTTGGGTCTTCCAGGCTAAACCTTTTGACGTGCTTTCCATGCAGTTGACGAGCGATTGCCATCCCAACTGTCACTCTCGACATCTCGAAGTGTCAACTCGTTTGACGCTCTAATCTTAATCAAAGGCAACTCGTTTAGATGGGCGGGCGCTCATATAACTCAAGTGCATGTGCCGCAGAAGGTGACCCACCATTACGCCACCCCCTACATAAGATCCCTACCAAAGCGTCCGCTGATTCTGGCTTTCATCAAGCTGGACCAAAAGCAAAGTTAACAAAGCTGAAAGTTCCCTACCGAAACGAAACCTCCGTCTCCTCAGCTGCCGCGAACGCGCGAGCGACGTGAGTTGGGGCGGTCGGTCCATGAGTGCTGCAAAGCGGGGGGATCGATACCTGCAGCCCGGTCGTAGGTGTGTATGTCCTGATTGTCCTATATAAGATACGAATGTGACAAATGCAAGCTGATGTTTGAAAGTGAATGAACTGCAGGTGTCTTTTGCTGTGCTTGAAATGACCTGAGATCGCTCCAAACACCAGGCATGAAAAAGAAGGCTCCAAATCCCGGGATGATATGAACATATATATATATACGCTACCCCCCCAAGTACCCCCGTTTTTCTTCAAGTGCAGATAGACCAGATGACTGCATTTTCATGTTACAGCAAAAAGACACTTGCATATGTATTGCGTAGGATGCCCAAGATGACAGCAGACGATACACTTACAGTTGCATGCTAAAGCTTACCAGATGACAGCAGACGATACACTTACAGTTGCATGCTAAAGCTTGCGACTTGTTACTTGAGAAGCCTCCTGAGAAGCAGACGCAAGAGAAGTCCCATTTGTTACTTGACAAGCAGACACAGCCAGCACAGACTTTTTCAATCCCTGATCGAAGGTGCTTCACTCAACTGGTTTGACAAACTTTTGTGTCAACCATGCGCAGAGGTCACCGGAAGCCACCCACAGATCCTTATTCCGATTCCAGTACTCATACTGGATGGACCGGATCTGCTCCCAGAGCCTCACTGAGCCTGCCTTGGAATGTTGGTTCAAAGCCAGGCGAGACTTAAAGAACCGCCAAACACGATCAATGATTTGGGTGCCTGCCTTCACCTTGATGACTTTCCCTGAATCTGGCAACTTGTGTTTGCGCAGAGACACATATTTGGGAGCCATCCACACCCATTTGCCCTTGACCTTGACGCGCTTTTTACAATGCACTACATGGTCATGGACAACCATAGGCAGACGAAGCTTATAGCTTCGAGCTGAATCAGTGTGGAAAATCAATTTCCTACCGCTCAGATGCTTTTCAGCAATCGGCTGCCACTCGTGCTTGCGAATGGCGCCGGGACCAGGCGCCCGTGGCTCTGTCAGTTCAGGACGTAGACGGTGCAAAATCAAAGTGTCCGGTTGCCCCCTTTGCACCATTCCAACCCACTGCTCCCACTCCATGAGATTCTTGCCATCCTTCTTCACCGGCTTCTTGTCAAAGGTGGTCTCATCTCCCTCCACATCTACCCACGTCTTGCAATTTCCAAAGGCCTTTTTTTTCAGTTGCCTCCACATACTTTTTCCTTCCAGCTGCCAGCTTCGAGCGCATGTCCTGAATGGCTTTGTGGTTGACACGCAAGGCATTGTGAATGACTCCATTGGAAACCTTGTTGAGGAGGAGAAAGAGCAAAGCACTCTGAATCTGGAGTGGATGACCTTCAGGCCCTTTGCATTCAGTGAAGAGAGGGTGCAAGTAATGTGGATGTTTTGGAACTAAGAACTAAGATTTCCCCACACTCTCCCACAGCAATCTTAATTCCAGAAAACATTGCCATACAATAGTTTCAAAAAAGTTTTAAAAGTTTTAAAACTTTCTGGAAGTAAGAACTAAGAACTAAGATTCCCCCAGACTCTCCAACAGCATTCTTAGTTCTTAGTTCTTAGTTCCCAAAAGCTTTAAAACTTTTAACACTTTTTTGAAACTTTCTTGACCTTCAGATGTGGGAAGTAAGACTTGTCCCCAAGAGTTCTGTGCATTCTTAGTTCTTAGTTCCCAAAAGTTTTAAAACGTTTAAAACTTTTTTGAAACTTTCTTGACCTTCAGATGTGGGAAGTAAGACTTGTCCCCAAGAGTTCAAACAATATATATGGTACCCCCCCTGCACATCTGACACCAAGACATGAAACATGTCTTTACCTCCAAGTTTAGTGTGAACCACACAGAAATGGGTACATGCGGGGGGGTACCATATATATATATATATGAACTATTCTGGAGTTGTTCAGAGAAAAGAGATAAAAGAGTATCCTTTTTCAAACTGACGTCCGCCCATGACGAGAACTTGGTCGGTCCATCACTTGGAAATGACTAGAAAACGCCAGGCTGGTCTCCTGACCAAGAAGTTTGCGGCTTACACTCCCTGAATCATGGAAGTGGAAAACCACCGGTTTGTACAGGAAAATGGTCATCCAAGGGCCATGCCAAACCATGGTACTTCCAGGGAGTGTACTCGGCAAAATGACATCACGGATCTTCTGTGGAGATTAAGATCTCACACATCCTCAACCCCCCATGTGCCCTTGGGGAGACTGCCGGTCTGACCAACTGGCCGTTCGGAAGGCAGCAGAACTCCCCATCTCTATCCTTAGTCAACTCACGCCATTGTGAGGATAGTATCCAGGACCTTCCAAGTCTGGTGGTTTTGGACACCCCATAAATTCACCTCTTTACGAGGCGCCTCTTGCAGGCACCTCTTGGTACCTGCCTTTTGACTCCCTCGTCAGCGACAAGAACGACTGCTGTCGCCTCCGAAGGTTCTCCAGTGCCGGATCACTGCGTGCCTGACCCAGTTGGCTACAGCCATGGGCAATGGCAGACCTCGTTGCGGCGCGATGCACGAGGTAGTCCGAGACAGGGCCACTGTGACGCCTGGTAGTCTCAGACCACTGCACGCTCGAGCGGGAAGATGGATCTCTCTCCAAACGACCGTGGTCCGACCGAAAAAGCCACGCGACAAAAGACCAAACAGGCCACCGTTGTCCTTGATATCAGAAAGCCGCATAGATCATCGAACACTTAACCTTGAAAGGGAGCCGACTTGTCGCAAGGCTATGCCAGGCTCCCCACTCCAACATCGCGATGCCCAGATCTAGCCGCTCCTGCTCGAATGCTCAAGCCCAAAAATCGGAACTCTTCTGGTGCCCAACTCTTCATCTGGTTCCCAGGCACTCTACAGGTGAAGTTGGAGTGATACCCATTTATACCCTATAGAAGTCAATCCTAATGATTTTGCCCCAAAGTTTTCAGAAAAATCCTTGTTCGGGTCATCTATCAAGAGCATCTTTCAAGGCTTGGACTTGTGTTGGGTCTGATTGGACTGTCTGGAGCGAAAGCCGACCTGCGGGGCTGTTGTATCTCACACTCTTCGACACTCCGACCGACCGAAGCTGACCTGGAGAACCTCCACGCCCGAACAAGCTCATAACGTCCGTCAGAGTGAGTAAATATGTGGTATGACACCAGTGAAAAAAGGAACAAAACTACAGCAAGCACGCGGCACGACGGAAGGCCATCGCGTTTTTAGGTTGGAGGTCATCGCTACGAATGGAACAAGGACGCTACTAGAAAGAGAATGTATCTTTCTTTTTCCTTTACTAAATCTGACCAGTAGCGGCATGAGAAGAGATGAGAAGAGTGCCCCGAGTGCCCCGCCGTTGACCAACACCTTTGGAATCTGAACCCCGAATGAGGACCCATGTCCATCAAAACCGCTCGTCAAACCACTCGAGATGAAAATTCATCGGCAGCGTGGCTTAGACTGACCTTACACTAGCGCAGTTCTGAACTGAACCACCCAATCGGCTCCTCTCGGGTGGCGGGCACCCCGGACTCAAAGCATATGCGGTCTGCGGCCAAGGATAAGCTTCGGGCCATTCCACGAAAGGCGTCACCTGGCACCGAGTACGTCTTGGACTGATTCAGCCAAGGGGTAAGAGACGGCTCTTTTGGAGAAAGGTAGCTTCTTGTTCCTAATAGCGATGGCCTCCAACCTACTTACTTGCGATGGCCTCCACCGAGCATAGCGTCCGAACGCTACTAGGGTCCTGGTGAAACGACGGTCGGATGTCTCCGGTGCCTGAGCGGCGCCGCTTCGTGAGGAAGTCGGTTGGCTTCCGAACAAGGAGTCCCTTTGCGAAACGAATCAACCCTGTGCAAGTATAGCCAACCCAGATCAGAAAAGGACGAGAACCTGCCATCGTGAAGATCTCCTCTGGAACTCCCTTCCTTTTCAGCGGGCTTTTCAAAACAAAAGAAACAAGAAACATCAAGAAACCTTCTTCCATTCATCCATCAGATGATCTTTGGATCCAACTGCAGAAGCCTCACCTCGCCTGATTTGCTTCCGGTGACCTCTTCATGCCGACTATTGGCATCACAGTACTTGAGATAGGCCTGCGTCCCCGCCCGAGTCCCTACGATGGCCGAAGGCGGCACAGGGACCTTGTGTCTGATCCTGGAGCGGATAGAAGATATAACGATATTTAATATATAAAACAATCATTGTAAAGACGAGGCAAGACTTCAAAAACACTTGTGCATCTAACCTATATATGTCTAATTGAAGTCTAAAAATAGACTGAAATAATCTGATAATATGACTCTATGACTATCAATATCTACCAATGATAGTCATATAGACGATAGTCAATTCAGTCGTCTAACAACACCACCCGCCGCATCACCCGGGTCAGAACGACCTTCTAGGTTGAACATGGTTGAACCATCTTTGGACACTGAGAACGGCGGTTTTGTTTCAGAACGGGTGCTCCTGGGAGATGTGTTTCATGCAAAAAATGATACAAAAACACTGTGTTTTACAGTGATTTCTTGCAAAATCCTCTCCAAAATTGAGGTGTTGAGCTATTTTTTGATCAATTTTGTGAGATCCAAGCCTATCCCAATTTAGAGGGAATACCAAAAAACCAAAAAACCAATAAACCAAAAAAACAAAAAAACAATAAACCAAACAAAACAAAAACAAAACAAAAAAAAAAATGTTTGACACAAAATGCAGCCAACATCCAAAAACCAATAGTGACCCCATTTTGTCTCAAACATTGTTTTTTTGTTTTTTTTGTTTTTTTTAGTTTTTTGGTTTTTTGGTATTCCCTCTAAATTGGGATAGGCTTGGATCTCACAAAATTGCTCAAAAAATAGCTCAAAACCTCAATTTTGGAGAGGATTTTTCAAGAAATCACTGTAAAACACAGTGCTTTTGCTTCATTTAAGTTTAACGGTGGAATTTGATGTTAAATTGGATTTCAATTGATTTTGGTATTAGACTTCAATTAAAACGCTTTCAGAATTATTGGTGGAAGTTGATTTATCATTAGCTCTCTATTAAAAATGTGTTTCAGATTAAGTGTAGATTGTTTACAAACTAAGTTTCATTTATATCATTGTCAAAATCATTGGGGAAATTGATGTTTATATTAGATTTCAATTAACATTTCTTCAAGATTAATCATAGAAAAATGAATGTGTAATTCAACTTCGATTAAATGCCTTTTCAAGATCATTGTGGCAATTGATTTTGAATTAGATTTCAATTAAAATCCTATTATATTTCATTCTAGAAATTAGGCATTACTTAAATGTCAATTAATGTCCTTTTCAAAATCATTGTGGAAATTGCTTGTTGTTCAGATTTTAATTTGAGTTCTTTTCAACATTATTTGATTGAATTGCTTGTGTATTGGATATCAATCAAGACCCTTTTAGAATTGATTGTGAAAATTAACGTTCAGTTAAGAGTTAATGGTGGAAATCAATTCTTATAATTAGATGTTAGTTAAAGTCCTTTTATTTGATGTAGCCTTGTAGTGGGGAGCAAACAGATACAAAATCAATTCAAGTTAGTTAAGCATCACAATTTCCACAATTGATCTTAAATCGATTTTAAACACAATCTGATATTAAATCAAAGCCACCACTAACTTTGAAAAGGACTTTGACTAAAATCTAATTGTAAGAACTAGTTTCCACAATGAGTTTTAAAGAGAACTTGGAAATAATTTTTATTGCAATCTAATATCTAATAAATAGCAAATTCCACAATCAATGTTAAAAGGATCGTGATTGAAATCTTCTAATTTGAGTTTGCCTAATTCTATTTTAATTCCAGTTTAGTTAGTTTAAGAACACACATGTTACAAAACCCTATATTTTACAGTGTTTTTTGCCCTAGGAGTGCTGGGAATAAGACACAAACTATGTTTTTGAGTAGATAGTATTTGTTTAAAGTAATCCCTTGGAATATTCATTGCTATATTAAAACTGCTTTATGTACAAACTTCTAATTCAAAAGGTTCCCTCTAGATCTGATCACTTCTGTGAAAAATATAAAGATTTCATTTCAAAAGCTTTCCTCTGGATCTCTGGAAATAGTCATGGTATTTTAAAAAAGCTATAAGTATGTATGTAAGTGTTTCTTTCAAATGCTTTCCTTCAATGAAAATACACAAATCTAGGAAATCTACTTTCCCAGAGATCCAGAGGAAAGCTATTGAATCTAGAGATGTATAGTATTATATCTTCATTCGCTCATGATGCTACATTCATTGTGGGCAGAGAGAGATTTACATGATAATATTTATCATTGGTGTTGCACATTGATAGTGGGCAGACGAAGAGCTGTTATTTGTTGTCATTGACATTGGACATGGAGACTGGGCACAGACAGATCCAAAAAATTGCGTTTCGCCTAGTTCTCAGAGCAGTTTTTGAAATTTTGCTCGGTATTTACAGTGTTTTCTAAGGGTTTTGAGCTAGTGTGTGCTCTCCCAAGCACACCCACCCTCTTTTGTTTCATACGCTTTTGTGGCTAGAAAGCCTGGTCCGCCAATGGGTCGCGAGGCATTTCCCAAGAGGGCACGAGCCACTTTCGAGCAAAGGGCCTTTTCCGTCCTAGAGCATGCGCACCTCAAAAAAGAGTCCGTGCCATTTTGCCTGTTTCAGGATATCCAGCCTTTAGATGCCTTGAGATAAACCAAGCATAAGGACTGTCCATCACCCGGTCAACTCAAAGTCGAGCTCCGCGCTTTTTGCGCAAAGCGCTCGAAGCCGCCTGACCCGGGGCGTCCAACAAGTAGAGGTCGCCCTGCTGCATGAGGCGTTGGAAGATCTGCAGCACCTGACAAAGAGTTGGCTTTCTAGGAAAAGACCTGGGTCTCCAGGAGCAAAGGACTTCCATATTGTGGAGACCTGGATGCCTGGATTGCGGACACATCTCGCTTTACCAAACCTCCTGTGGCTCATAAGCCTTAGGAAACCAAAGAGAAGCAGCTCCTCACAGACTTTTCGCCGGGTTCCCCTGCTGTGGGGGTCAAAGCTCATCTTCCAACAGATTCCTTTTCAGTTGAAGAAACAACAACCAGTTTGTTCACGTTCTTGTGGTGCAGGCTGATGTTTATCCCTTCAGCCCTCTGAAGAACCCTCATCTATCTTTATGTCCATCTTTCTTCGATGTACGTCACTGGGGGAGAATTCACTTGGACATGGCAAACTCTTGCAAACATGGTCTCAGCTTTCGTTGGTGTCGTGTCTACGAGTCTACACCGCCTCCAAAGACTGTGGCGAATTTCCCAAGAAGAGAAGAACCACCGGGAGCTATAGTTACCCTTTGGGTATATAAGGAAGAACATGGGAGAACGGACAAAACACGCAGTCAAACAGAGACATGGCACAGGGGCCAAACATGATGGAGTTGCCTGAGCAGAAAGGAGGTCTATTGGGTTGGCAACAAAAGGGCACCTCCATGTAATTAGACCATCTTTGCCTACATTGGGGTGGTTTGGGGAGTTAACACTGTTCTCTGTACAACCACCGGCGCCGGTGAAAGTACGACCTCCCAAACCACTGGGTGGTTGTAATGGAACAATGGTCGAAACGACGGGTGAATTCTCAGGGTTACTTCGAATCGTCTGCGGGGGCGTTTCATATTGGATCGTTTTTGCTCAAGCGTTCAAAGGTTCCGTGCGAAGAAGAAAGAAACAGTTAAAACAACTCAGATGTCAACTTCCAATCTTGGAATTTCTCCAAAACCGCCCGCTGCCTTTGACCTTTTGTTCACTCGCACGCGGTCGGCGTTCTCCTAATGGACGTCTTCTGCATTCTCCACAGGAGAACATCGGGAGATCGGGCCCACTCCGGACACAGACGGGCGACCTGAATCACAGACTGGGGATGGGCTTGAAAGGAGATATGGAAAACGGCCCTTCAAGTTAGTTGGGGGTTGATCTGTTAGTTCTTAAGTCAGTGTTGAAATTTGAGCCTTTTTTTTGCAATCATGAAGCAAATTGAAGCAATCAGCGAGGATTTGGGGGGACATGTAGGCGTACTCAGACCCGATGGCCAAAAAGGCTTGCCCTAACAAGGGACCTTTGACGGTAGCAAGACACAGAGATTGTGTTCGCATGCTTTCGCCGGGGTCAAGATTGATCGGGTGGAAGCTACCGACATCTTCATCTTTTCGGTTGTCGCAAAAGTTTGGGGATCTGACGCCAAAAGGGACTGACCCAAAAGGAGAAAAAGGGATTGACCCTTTGGCACCTAGCATTCATGCAGCCCAAAAACGCTGGCTACTTGTCCCACGTGCCAGCCTGCTTCCACCGTCCCAGGTTCCTAAAGATTCAGCCACTGAGCTCAGGTGCCCGTGACCTCGGGAGGCCTCAGGTGCTGAAAACTTCAACTCTGCCAGCTTGTCTCTGTGAACCCCCTCTCCTGACAGCTTCGCGGAGTGTCAAACTCCTCTCCGCGGTGCAGATCTCGACGGTTTGCCGGTGACGAAGCGGCGGAGCGCCCAGGCGTCCCCAGGGCTTCGCGAACCGCACGATTGATCGTCGGCGAAGCGAGATTGACCACTGACGATGTGATGCAAACGATACGAGCTTGGCCAAAGATGTTCCATTCAATTTCATTAACTAGGACCGAGGACAAACTATGATAAACGATTTTTCACTAGGAGCATCTAGCAGCTGGAAGCCAGTTTTTGAAGAAGTAGCTGCACCATTTTTGTGGATCCTTTCCGGAGCGAAATCCGATCAAAGCACAGTTCTTGTTGATGTGGGAAACTCCCCTGGAACCTCTTCTGTACTCTTTGTGTAGTGATGAACGATGCATGGACAGAACTCGCATCGACACATTCAAAAACGCGGGATGCTGCAGGTGATTTCGAGCGGCTTCGACTGTGGAAGGCTTTTCTCATTCCTTTGTGGGACCCAATGTCCGTTTGGGATCTTGAGGAAGATGTAAGAGTGTGCTGCCATGATCTTTGGAGCGCTTGGGCGTCATAGTATTAAACCCGAGTGACTCAACAGAAGGCTTAAAACCTTTGAAGGCCCCTAGTGGCCGTCACGTGACCTAGTGTTGTTGGTTCATGTTCATTCGCTAAGCCGCTCAGCGACTGCTAGGCGATACATATGCCGTCTCTCGGTCTCTCAAGTGGGACTGAAGATGCTGAAGCATGGAGAACGAGGCCACAACAACGCCTCTGTTGGTAGACACGCCATTGTGTGGCAACTTTTTGCAAAGGACGGTTTGTCTCACAATCATCCTCCACGCATGAATGGTCGACACCGTATGAGGACACCTCCCAGAATCTAATCAAACCGTTAACGGTTATTGGTAAGGCCTTCCTGAGCCAGTCAGCAAAGGTACATGCCTTCGAGTCCAAGAGGAAACACCTGAAGTATTCAAATGTAGCCCAGGCAGGGCGTCCAAAACTCGATATCCTGGTCCAAACGATCCGCCCACCATCGATCGGTCAAGAGATCCAGGTACTCAGAAATACTCCAAAACGTAGTTATATAGTGTTATATTACATAGTGTTTTACATATATATATATATGTTATATGTACTGTTATATATATATATATATTACATGGATCTACATAGTTGTTCGCATGTGTGCCATGTTTCTATGAGTTTCAGAAAGAGCCTTTTTCATGCAAAATGGGATCGTGTTGTTGAGTATTCCATTGTTCCACGGATGACATGACGGGTGAGGAATCTGTGACAGAATCGAACATCGAACATTGAACGAAACGGTGAAGGTACAGCTCAGCAAAGCCTAGCAAAGCTATATCAGTTCCTTTGTTGTCGCATCTTCTTGGGTGGAATCGGACAACTGTTTGGTTCAGGACCACGTCTATCTGATCCTTCGCATCGGAATGGCTCCAGACTTGAAGTTTAACTTTTGATGATCGCATTGACAAGGTGTTGCCATACTTGGGTGACTACAGCTTCAAGAACTACAATCAGTGAACTAGTATGCTGCAATACAGCTGCCTTGGGGAGGTGCAGTTGGTCTGAGGGAGAAACAACCGTCTTCCGAGTCTTCCCTCCCTGATGCACTCCTGACACGAAACCTCTGGAAACCTCTGGAACTAAATATGCAGGAGGCCATCGCTACTAGGTTCGAGGCCATCGCTGGTGGGTTGGAGGTCATCGCTATCAGGTTGGAGGGCCATTGCTATTGAGTAATGAGAAAAAGATGGTCCAACATAGACCAACAACGAGACCAAATGAGAACCACAGTGCTACGCCGCTACGACTGGAAGGGTCACAACTAAAATGCACAGGTTCTCCGATTAATTTCAGGGATTCATGCGTGAGTGTGTGGGCTAAAACCTAGCCCTACAAACCATGGAAGTTTGACATCCCTTATATAATTATAGACATTGAAATCTGTTCATCTTCAGGATCAACCAGGGTTCCGGGGTTTTGACCCACACACATGTTACAGCCATGTTGCAATCCTGAGCCTCACACCGTGGCCCTGCTACCGCCCATGAAACACTTGAAACCGGTCAACTCCGAAGGCTCAGCATGCCGGAATGCAGAGCATGCCGGTGCTCATGTAAACGGTTGTTGAAAATAAAATGTGTGAAGAATTGTGAAGAGGTCTCTGAGCGCATCCAAATGGGGGGGTTACTGATCGAGATTCTATATACATGAGTGTTCATCCAAAACACAACTTTCATGCCATCCCGTTGTGGAAGGTCCGCGCCCAGAGCAAAAGAGGGAAAGCTGGCTTGGGCCCACAATCCGCAGCTTTTTTATCAGCGGCTGCAGGAGTGACTGACGCCAAACCCGAAGCTGTTCTGTGTTGGGTTGCTCGAAATCCGCTGCTGTTCCAGTGATGAAGAAGCTCTCAAAAGCAAGGCTTGAATCATCCACTCTAGACTTTAGCTATTGTCCTATGTTCATCGATGTACAGTATATATATGTTGTTTATCTACCAAGCTCCACATGAGCGTGTCCCTTGAGGATATTGTTGAAGACTGACAAAAAACATCAGATCGAGCTGCAGTACATCCCCAGCTGTTCAGCATAATTCTTCGTGCTTGAGTCTGATTTGCAAAGATCTAGCTCAAGATGCCACACCCAAACACCGTTGATCGATTGTTTTGCGTCCGGTACGACCTTGAAATCACTCAAGTCAGCTCTGAACCCCGAAGGTCCTGAGAAACATCAGCTCACGTGTTCACATCGGCCACAGATCCCCATGCGACGAAAATACAGACTATACTGGTGGGATTTCCGTCCGTTCATCCCCATCAGGAACTGAGTGGCAGTTTCTATTGTCTGGAGTCGGAAGCGGATAGTCCAAAATGCAACTAGACTTGGATCTACGAAAACCACGACAATGAAAAATGTCTTCATAAGTTCCTCTGCAATTGATGCATTTAGCTTTTGTCTGCGTTCCCTCCAGCAAGGATCAAGAAACTGCCCACTGGACTGCACGTCAGGCGAAAAGGCATTGGCTGTTGACAATCAGGGCCAACATGACAAGGATGAGTCATGATCAGTCCTACCAACCCGTGAAAAATATCTACGTTTGATTCAACCTGAAAGGATCACCCAAAAAGATCCTGTTCATAGACCATGATTGGGAGGTGCTTTTGGAACAAAATCACTTTCTGGAGTGACATCGCGAATCTTCGATCTTCGCGTTATTTTGTCTTCCTGGTGTACACTCCCTGAAATCGGATGGTACCACCTGTTGTCATTCGGATTTCATGGCCTCCAACCTACTAGCGATGGCCTCCAAGCTAATAGCGATAGCATCCAACCTAATAGCGATGGCCTCCAACCAAATAGCGATGGCCTCCAACCTACTAGCCGCTAGT